CCAGCTTCTTATGGAGATTCAGCAGATCCGTTGCCACTCGCATCAGCTCTTGGTCTGTGCTCTTGAGGACTGACTCCGGGTCATAATCAGGCGTCTTCTCCACCGTCATGATTTGGTCCTCAGAGTGCTCGTGGATGAACTTCACCAAGCGGGCCATCTTGTCGCACAGCTGCTTGGGATAGAGAGCTGACAGCCGAGTGCGGGTTCCTCCTTCACATGGAACGTGAGGTTCTTGACATTGACATAGCCTCTGAAGCTGCCATACCAATTGTGAAGTGCTCTTCACTTTCCAGGGCTTCTTCATCAATCCACCTTCTGGAGCTCGGAGTCCATAGGCACAACCATCGAAGACAGCTTCAAAACCTCCGTGTTGGCGCCAGAAGTTCTGGATGCACTGAAACTCCCAAGCCTTGTTGTACTTGGGCCATTCTTGAAAGACTTCGCCGCCTTGCTGGATCTGGAGCTCCATGATGATCACTGCTCTGCTTGCCAGGCGCTTTGAGCGTTGAACCTTCTTTTCCACTTTGGCTCGACCTTCTTCGGTCAGCTTGTTGAGCTCTTGGATGCCGGAAGTTGGCCCACAAGGTAGCGATACCCATAGTACGTCGGGTTTATAGGTCTTCAGGAGCTGGATCACCTTGTTGAAGCCAGACTTCTTGTTGAGGTCGCAGTCGTTGAAGAGACCGCAACGAATTCCAAGGCCTCCTTGAGCTTCCAATGCAGTGGTGAGTCCACTGTCCTCTTCACAGCAGAGTTCCATGATCTTTGGAGGCTTCTTGACCTGATCCGCCATCAGGCTCATCATGATGTCCTCACATCCTTGTTCATACTCTTCAGCCAGGGATAGCAGGAAGGCGGTGTCGTCTTCGGTCAGCCTTCGGCCTTGGCCGGTGTCGTCACTGTCAGATGAGTGGGGCTGCTGACCTTTCTTCTTCCGCTTCTTGCTGCAGGCTGAAGCATCAGGCAAAATGCCTGGAGTTGGCAAAATGCCAGCATTGGTGAAACTGCTGCCCATTGGGATCCCCAGGTAGTACTCGTCCATCGTCTCCTTGGACTTGATCTTCGACAGGTTGGGGTCCTTCATGGCAGGCTCTACTGGTGCGGTAGATGATGAAAAGCTGTTCATAGCGCATGCAAAACTTGGTGAGGAACTCTTCAAAGAGGTAGTTCCTCCGGCTGGTGAAACATGAGATCCTTGGAGTCCGGGAGCTGCATTGACAATCTTCTTCACGTGGAACTGGGGCTCACCGGTGACACTCTGCTCCATTCTTCCTCCTCTTCGTTCTCCGGCTGGGTGGCGATCTCGTACTCCTCTGCGGACTTCTCCGGTAGCCTCGCACTCTTCTTGCTGCCGGTGAGGGCCATGGTGTGGTCCTGAGCATACCCTGCCGTGGGTGGTGAAGGCGTCATAGGGCGTTCCGGGCCTTGGCCCTGTGAAGACTTCCCTGGGGAGACCTTGGTTGTCTCGGCCGCAAACTTGTCCTTGCGCTGCTGGGTTGACAGCCATTGCTCCTTCTGCTTGCGGATGGTCTCCATGCGTTTCTCCAGGGATCTTTCGGCTGCATCCAAGCCAATCTTCTTGTCCTTCAACTCGACGCTGCCCTTGTCCGGCTTCTTCTCCACCAACTGGGTCGTCGTGTCGGCAGCAAGTGGTCCTGCTTGTCGAGTCAGGCCGTGTGCGCCGAAGGCCGGCGTGTAGCTCAGGCGAATCCCACACTCCGAGCATCCCACCCATGTTGCATGGGCGTTGCTGCCTGTGTTCGAGCCTCGTCCCGGCATTGCAGGAGTGTGTTCTCCATGGCATGGTGGTCCCGTGGCCCGGGGATCGTCCTTGTTGATCCCCTGTGTGCGGCTGTAGTCGAACCGCTCGGAAGCTGGTGCCACAGGCTTCTTCTTCTCCTTCGCCTTGGGCGCCATGGGCTCGTGAGGAGTCGTTCACGAGGGCGGTCAGGATGTCATCCCGCATCCCTTGATCAGCTTGTGCCAAAGGGCGTCGGAGGTGATCATGCCGATCAAGCATGTAAGCAGCTTCAAGATCTTCACCTGACTCACGACCTTCTGCCTCACTGCACTTCTCAACCACAAGAGCTTGTTCAGGGGTGTGTGAAGACTCAAAACTCATGCAAAGCTCTGGGTGCAGGTGGTCCAACATGTCGTGGGAGGCCTGAGAAGTGACATCTTCATGGTCCATGGGAGAGACTGCGCACAGAAGACTGCTCACCTTATATGCCGCACAAGGTCGTGGTGCCTGTAGCTCCAAAGGCTGGCCCATGGTGAGCCAGTCAGCACGAAGGTCAACAAGAAGATGTCCCGCCTTGCTCTTTCCAAGTGGGATCTTGAGGTCAGGTGCCACACTGGACAAAACCATCCAACGGCCGCTCACATCGATCACCGCGCCAAGGCGATCCAAGGTGCGCATGCCAATTAAGATCGGCACCTTCTCAGCGTCGAGGGTGAACATGCCAAGCATCACACTGTTCTCGCCGAGCTTCTGAGGTACCAGCGCAAAGGATTCGCTGTACTTGATGCCACCATTTCCAAAGCGAAAAGGTTTGACAGCATTCGGGCCGGTGAAGACTTTGATGCCTTCTTCCCATCCTTGAGCTTGATGTCGCTGCCACATCAACTTCTCCAGGGCCTCAAGGGATCCAACCGTCTCAGTGGCTCCCAGGTCCAGGACGCCATAGCCCGAGGTGTCACCAGTGATCACTTCATTCGTGGCCATGCCAATAAAGTCGAGGTCCAGCGGACTTGGGGTCATGGCCTCCACCCAAAAGGTTCCTTTGCGAAACCCTTTTCCAGTCGTAGGCGAGCTGCTGGTGCTGCGCTTCGGGCAATTCCCCGCAGATGAAGCATCCGGTCGAAGTTGCCTCAGCTGACAGCACTGTCTCATTGGCCATGAAGGTGGCAGGCAAGGAACTGCTTGGTGAAGAAGAGGAAATAGGTGAACGCCCTTTGCCTTTCTTGCCTTTAAATTTTCCTTTGCCCTTCTTGCCCTTGAGCAGGTGAGGTGGATAGAAGCCTCGGCTTTTGCCCTTTGCCCGTTGGAACTGCCTGCTCTGCAAGAAGGTCTTGGCCTTGTTCTCATAGACTGAGTAGGCCTCCTCAAGCTCTTTGTTCTCCTCGGCGGTCAAGTCGTCGAAGTAGCCATCATCGCAGCTCCATGGCCATCTGTCTCATACCACTCGCCGGACCAGTCCATGGTGTAGCCATGCCAACCATCGCCTTCACGAGTCCAGTAGATCTCAGGATCTTCCTCCATAGAGTTCTCCATGGGTCCAGGATCATATACTTCAGGAGGTAGTTGATGACCAACCCAATGCACTTCGGCAGTCAGTTCATCCATCGTGGTCTCGTCCTGGTTCACCAGAAGCCCCCAGGAGCCAGCCTCTTCCACCCAGTAGGTGCGTCGCTTCGATGGATGTCTTGTAGAATCTGCCTGTAGTAGTTCTTCTTCTTGATCTCGAAGCGCCGTCTCGATGTCACGGAAGGTGAGGCTGTTCTGGACACTGGCCTGGACAGACAACCTGCTGGCTGCACTCAAGTTAGCTCGTCGTAGCAGTAGCCAGCCAAGGACTTCATCAGGTAGGACCTGGATGTCCTCAACTTCCAGTTCATCCCAAGGAAGATCTTCCCCAGGTGAGGAGGTGTCGTTGTCAGAGTCCTCCTTGCTGTCGAGCCCTGACCAATGCCCTTTGTACCTTGCGGTAGGCCTCCAGGACATAGGATGACCATTGGCTCATCGGCATTCCCAATGGTCTCCTCAACCTGATCAGCAGATCCTCCAAGCGAGCTCCAGCATCAGGGACCGCTGTCCGGCATAGCCGGCTTTGCAAGAACTTCAGGAGATACTTGGTGCCGTTCTTCTTGCTCAGCTTGGAGTGTTCCAGGTCAGGGGTGACCGACCATGCACGGCCAGTCAACCTGGACGCAAGGTCAGGTGCCAGGTATTTCTTCTTTCGGTCAGGTGTCTTCTCCCATTGCAATCTGACCTTTCGGGCGTAGTCGCCCCAGGTAGTGGGATCTCCGTCCCATGTGACCACCACCTCTTTGGCCGAGATGGTTGCCATCGAGGATCTCCGTCACGGAGTCGAGGATGTAGCCAGGCGCCGCGAGTAGAGCTCGAGGTCGAAGGGAGGTGCCCAGCCGCCGCCGCCAGGGAAGTTCACGAGGAGGGGCTCAATGAAGTAGTGACTTTCCAAGGTCCCAGGAGATGGCAGTCGCCAGAGCTCCGCTACCAATGTCGGTAGCTGGGTGACCTTTGAAGGTGAAGCGCTCTTTCCAACCAAATCAAAGGCCACGCTCAGGTAGCAGTTCTTTTCCGCACACCAGGGCCCGTCTTCGGGCGTCTTTGTTCCGCGGCCTGTCAAGGCCTCAGGGTGCCACAGCTATGGCGGCACTTGCGCAACAGTAGCCCTCACGGCCTGTGAAGGCCAATGGCTGAAGGGTTCCCTTGAACCGGAAGGTTCACGGAAGTCACACATGTCCTTCACTGACCGGAAGCGAAACACATATGTTTAGCTGAGTTGTTCACACTCAGCCAATGAGGCTGACCATAAAATGTTAAAACCCAGCTGACCAACAGCACTGAATAACTGGATAACTTCAGATACCCCGAGTTCTGTTGTGTGAGATCCTCGCTCAGCACGATTGTCCGCTCCGCAAGTCTAAGTGAGGCATATTGACACCTGCTTTGCTGGTCTTGGTCTGAAGCCGGGTCTGCGAGTCTTCAAGGGACCCAGAGCGCCGCGATAGGAGTCTACTTCAGAACTTCAGGCATATCAGGGAGCAGCTAGCTGACTGGTAAAAACCTGGCGGCACGTCAGCACGTCTTGCTGTCTCAAATGCTCGGCCTCATGAGCATTCAGTCCACGCAAACACGCTGCAAGTTTGAGACAAGCGGTCGGTTTCCTCCACACACTCTTGCTTCTAAGAGAAGTAGAAACCCGTATCGCTTCCAGCTACTGTATCTGCGAGAATACTGAATGCGGGCTAGGATCGAAATTGCTCTGTTTCCTCGTCTTTCAACTTGTTCAAGCTGGACATCAAAGAGGTCATCTTACTCACAAGCGTCGAGAATGTCATCAGAGCAACAAAAGCTGCAAAAATGCCTTGGCATTCAAGGCTTTTTGTGCCCATGTAACATGTATATACATTACACCCCTCTCTTCAAGTCAAAGTCCAACCATGTCAAGAGTCAACCGAAACAAAAACAACTATGATCATGCTGACATGTCAACTCTGGCCTGTCCTGTCCAGCACATGATATAGCCACCAAATGTATGTGCAGTTGAGCATGTGTCTGCTTGAGTTTGCACTGAGGTTTACTCAACTGTGTTGCTTAAACATATATATATATACGTTCATCCTGCACAAATTAGCGTTCAAACACAACATCAGGATACATCTACGTTCCGTATCCACTTGTCAAAGTCACCAAATGAGCGCTCGTAGGTGTTGGTGGGGTAGATTGCAATGCCACCCACGCCCATCTGGCAGAATGCCCAATGGTAGCACGTGGTATACCTGATTGATGAACCAAATATTCTGGAACTGGCAAAGTTCGGAGGTCACGAGAGGCACTGTAGTCTTCCTAACATTAGAAAGAAACTTGGGACTGCGTTGGCTTGGGATGTGACAGTAAAGCAACAAAGAAACCAAGGCAACAAAGTAGTAGCAGACATCTCCTCACAATGCCATGAGGTGTGATGGCAACGATTCCAAGGTAAAAGATTTCACCCAGCAAGCAGTAGGTGCTTCAGGACTAGGGCTAGAGTTCAACATTTCCCAGCCTTTTCAGAAACAATTAAAGAGTGATGAAGGGCCAATGAAGAGATATGAAAAGGCTTCTTTTGTCTGCTGACCTTTGGTTCGCAGAGCCAGCGGCTTGCTTGCATCTCGTTCTCCTTCTCCATAATGGGGATGTCTGAGGAGAGTGAGACAGAGAGACACAGAGACACACAGAGACACACAGAGAGACACAGAGGGACAGAGAGAGACACAGAGAGAGAGAGAGAGACAGAGAGAAAAAAATGTTCATGTCCAGTTTGCACTTGCCTAGGTAATTGAACAGGTGATGCCATAGGCATGTGATTGAACACCGCAGCATTTGCGGCTGCAAAGCCCTGAAGAGTTTTAAGGGGGACGAAAGCTAGGCATTTAATACCTTGCTGCAGTCGTAGAAAAGCTGCGTTGGGCTGGAGCGACCTGTTCTAAAGTTGTGCTTTGCTAACTTGAGGCGCTCGCCATGTCAGATCTTTTGAGCCATGGGCTTTTGGCATCTGCTGGGGTGGCAGGTGCTAGTTCTGCTCAGTGTGGTTCAGGGATTGCGGCTTTTACCAATGCCTAGAACACCTGCCCCGTCTCGTTTCACAGCTGCTGGAAGAGAAAGAGCTCCAAGTCTGGAAGGATCGAGGAATGGAGTCGAAATGCTGTTGCTGGAGCAGAATCAGTCGCTAATGAAGCAGGTTGCCTTGCTCCAGTCTCAGGTGCAGAGTTCGCAAGCTCGCTCTGAAGCAATGAGTGTCCAAGAAGTTGCACAAAGCAATCCGGTCTCACACTCAATTGCTCGAGGGAGTCGATCCAGCCTTGCAGAAAGTTTTTCTGGACTTTGAGAAAGAAGCTAAACACGTGTTTGAAGCCTGGGAAACGCAGAAGAAGTTGTTTGAGAAGTACTCCAAGTTGAGTGAGGAAGGACGTTTGCGCAATCATCTACAAGCCGAGGCTGATTACAAATGGCAGTGCACCAAGCTGTACTTAGCCAAGGCTCAGCCAGTGTCCGGTGACCAAGGCATGGTGGAAGAGGGCTACAATGTTGCAGAGGATTGGGCTCGTATGAGGCGTAGGCATGCTGAAGAGTGCTTCGAGTTCATTTGCAAGCATCAGAAGCAGTGTGTTGCTTTGTATGAGCAAGAGGTTTCCTTAGCGGTTTTGCAGGAAAAGTTGACTGATCGTTTGGATGCCTGGTTTGCGGAGCAGGCGTTTGATGACTTGGAGGTACAGAGAGTCTTGAAACAAAGGGCTTGTCAGTTTGCGCAGTCCTTTGTTCGAGCCACTAGGCGCAAAATACAGACATGGATGGTGAAAGACAAAGAGCAGCAAAGACGAGAGCAAGTGCTTTTAGGAGCAAAGAGCAAGTGGGAACAGATGGACGTGAAGGATGTTTTGTCTCCAGCATTGTTTGAACTCCTGGACGCAAAGCAAGAAAGGTCATGCGAAATCAAGGAGGATTCAGCCCTGGCCTTTCTGGTGAAGGACAATGAAGAGCTTTGTCGAAGACACAATGTGAAAATTGTCTCAGAAGCGGCCCGTTCTTCCAAAAGGGCGCCTACGCCTAAGAAAGCCCCTGGGAAAATTAGAGGACGAAGCCAGCAGAGAGGTTCTAGCACTCCCCGTTCAATTCTGCAAGTCGTTCTCCATCGAAGCCAGCCAGATTGTCAAGTGGTGAGAGAACTTCGTCAAAGAGAGTCAGTTTTGAAGGGAAGAGTGGTGGCAAGGGCAAAGAGAAAGGCAAAGGCAAGGGCAAGCAGAAGCGAAAATAGCACATCGTGAAAGAGGCCGCTGTTACTGGCAAGACGCCGACTGCTGTAGCATTGATTTTTACAAGTTCTGTGTCGTGCAAACTTTCAGAGCTCGCTTATATTCTTTGTTGCAACAGGCAGGCTTACAAAGGTGTTCACAATTTAGTCCCTTCAGATGTGCTGTGTCCCAAAGTTTGTCCTCCTGCATGTTGCCAGAAGTGGTAAGTTCATTCCTACAAGGAAAGCTACCAATGTCAAAGACATTTTGTCGGGCTTGGATGCTTTCAGCAGTTGCTTCTTTGCAGAGTCTTTCAAGGAAATGCTGCGTGCGTGTCAAAATGTCGTTTGAAAAGCACGTGGCAGCCACCAGGCAGTGCAGGCGTTGATGCCTTCGTTCGGTTACTCTCTCATGAGCTGACCCAGTTTGAACCTAAGACCTTCAAATCCAACCAGTCTTGGTTTGACAGAAAAGCCAAGGCCTGGTTGCGACAACATGTGGATTTGGTTGCAGTCGTGGATTGCGACAAAGGGCTTGGAGATTGTTTAGTTCTTCGGTCATGGCTTGTTGAACAAGTTCAACTTCAATTGGCTCAGGGATATGTACAGTCGAGTCCGGTGGAGTTGCAAAAGAAAGTGGCTGAGCTAGAGTTCGGCACTGATGCCATGGTGCAGTTTTTCTTTTCTTCTGGTGTGCTTTCTTTGGCTGAGCAGGATTTTCTACTCAGCAAGTTTCAGGTAAGTGCTGTTGGAGTCTTCCGCATTTTGGTTAAGGTACACAAGCAACCAGTTTCTTCCAGGCCAATTTGCAACGCACGCAACAGTTGGTATGGACCTTTTTCAACTTTTTTGGTGGAGCGTTTGGGGCCACTTGTGCCTCAGTTGAACTCTGTCATTGTTTCTTCAGACCAACTCTTGCAGCAGCTGAAACCGCTTCGGTGCGAAGCCGCTATGAGATTTGTCACGCTTGACATTGTTAACCTGTATCCTTCGGTGAATAGGAAGCACTTGATGTCTATTGTGGGCCCTTTTGTGAGGCAATCATTTGGCCATTCAGCGTTGGGAGACTTCATTGTCAAAGCTTTGGGGTTGGTGCTGGAAGCTTGCGTTGTTTCTTTTCAAGGGTTTCTTTTTGAGGCGCAAGATGGCATTCCAACAGGTTTGTTCTCGCAAACATATACTTATGGCACTTTGACCGATACATGTCACGAATGTGTGGCTGTGATTTGCAGATCCTCAGAAGGTACATTGATGACCTTTTGCTTCTGTGGGCTGGTGACGTGCGAAGTCTGGTTGAAAAGGCGGAAAGTTGGCATCCTTTGTTGAAGTTTCAGGTTTCTGGTGAAATGGAAGTTCCTTTTTTGGACTTTCACCTCAGCATTCTGCCCAATCGCCGTGTGCATTGGAAGTTGTTTGAGAAACCCCAGAACCTTTATCTTTGCGCGCCGGCTTTTTCGAATCACCCTGCCAGTACTTTTGCAAGCCTGCAGTTAGGAGGAGCGATTGGATGTGAAAGGCGGAACCGTCTTCCTTCTGACTATGCTGCAAGCATTCGGTCGTTTGAAAGATAAGGGTTTTGACCTCGCTAGCTTTGATCGTTTGTTAGCTCGTTACAGAGCAAGGCGGATGAGTGGCTGGTGGCTGGAGGTGAGTCGGCGCGTGTTTTAGGTCGCGCGGGTGAGGGTTGTATGTGGGGGAAAGCGTGGAAGATCTGCAGAACGCCGCTCCCTTAAATAGATATTCTGGGATGGTTCCAGTTGATGGTGAGTAGTATCCCCGCACCGCAGTGTGTGTTTCCTGAGCGGCAGTTTAAACTTTGTCCTGCAATGGTACTCCTGGGCGCGACCATAGCCCCAGAGTAGCGAAACCTTTTTAAGGAAACGGAATGGCCATCCAAAACCAACTTTGGTGACACATTGTTGGTAGCTTGAGCAGTAGCTAAACCGTCTCCAGGACCGTGGGGAATACATGCAATAGGCACAACATACAACGCTCAGCCGCCTTGCAAGCTGACATTTTGCAGGGTGACAGACAGCGAAAACATGCAAAAACTAGGCTGTTGTGAAACTCATCAACCGACCTGTTATAGATCCGGACCGTTTCTGCACTTCTTTGCGCTGGCCCGTTTTTTGTCCCGCAGGTGCAGGACCTTGACGCGTGTTGTGTTTTTGCGCGCTCGTGGATGAATAGCTGGGCGAAGAACTTGTTCATGTGGTGCACTGTGTGGCCTAACGGGCTAAATTGCGAGTTCACGCTTTCAGCAATGCTTGTTGTGAAGGTGAACATGCTCGTCGAACAAGCAACACCCTCCCTCCTCCCAAACGCAGG